CAGTGTCAGTGGGCGGTGCAAATGCAGATCGGAGGCTCCCGGCTTTGACCCTTGGCTGGCTTGGCTGGGGGTGGGGGCTCCCCATGCTTTTGAAGGGAGAGCGAGTCACGGGACCCCCTCCTCACCCCTTTCGACAGCAGGTGCTCTTCCAGTTATTTTTGACAGGAGGTCTCGTGCTCACTCATTCAAGGAATCCTTAGTGATCTCCAACTGCATGTCCAGCATTGAGTAGATTCATGCCTGTAGTTGCCCACTTGTCACTGGGGAAGGCGAGGAGCTCAACATTCGCACCATTTTTGAGGAGTGAGTGCTAATAATTGTTATTTTGTGCTACTATGAGCCAGGCACGAGGCTAAGCACTTTATGTGCACCACCTCATTAATGATTTCATTACTTCTCACACTAATTCTGCAATACTGAGACGACTGTTATCCTGAGTAGGCAGAAGAAAAAACTGAGACTTGGAGAGACTGAGGCTCAGTGCTCATGCTTTTCTGATTCTAAAGCCCAAATTCTTCTCTTCCTCTGGGCCCAGGTAACACATGGCCTTGGCCGGCCCCACCAGGCCAAGCTGCCAACCTTAGGGATGGGCAGAAGCTGGCTGCAGGTGACAGGAGGCACCAGGTCCTGCAGCCCAGTTCATACTGGACCAAGGAAGCCGGTGGCTAAGCCTGGGAACATCTTCATAGAGATGGGCACGTAGTGCCAGGCAGGTTACCAAGCACTGTTCCACCTTTGAGCCCACAACCTCCCGAGCTAAGTGACACACCTAAGGACACTGGAGGCTCAGAGAGATGAAGTGATCTGCCCAAGGTTATGAAGGGAGGGGCTGTTCACACACTGGCCTCTCATAATGTCTGTTGAACACACTTGCCAGTGAGTGGCTGAGGCAGGGGGTGAACTAGGTCTGTCCAACTCCAATTTCTGTGTCCTTTTCACTCACCTTAATGTAGCAGGAAACTGACAGTTGTGGTTCCAGCAGTGCCGAGCCCATGACGAGGGGTCCCTCTGTTATCATTAGGAGTCCCTCTATGGAGGTTCAGAACTCCAGGCTATTCCCTGTTTGGTGACAATTCCAGATTTTCAGGGACCAACCGGCAGTCCAGGAGTGATCTGGGTGTACATGGAATCACCTGGGGAAAGTGGATGCAGATTAAATGCAGATTCCTGGGCCCCTCTTGCAACTCAATCTCTAGAGACAAGGCCCAGGAATCTGACTTTAATACTGAGGATTTCAGCTGATGCTGGCCAAAATCTGAAAACCCGGCCCTAATGTATTTTCAGGTTAGTGTGCAGATGACACATTTGCCACCTCTTGCTCTCATAACTGCTTGGAACTACAAAGTGAAGTTTTACATTCTGTCTCCTTTAGTGGGAAGTAGAACAAGGCTTCTCCCCTGGTGGTTTTGCAAAAGATCAAAGTTTTGGCCTCCTGAGCCTCTGACTAGGGTTTGCTGTGTGGTACAATTTTTGCCCAAACAGCTGTGTTTATCTGAGCTTTAATTCATTTTCAGGAGCTGAAGCGTTTCAGTGTTTGCATAGGGGCTGCTGTGCTCACAGACCCTCTCACCACCGCTTTCTTCCCAGTCACTTTCGACATGCACCAGGACACCCTGTGTGGCCGACTGACCTCTGTCTCCCAAGTGCACGGCAGCTGTCCAAGAAACTCTCCTTGTGGGGCTCTTCTGACAAGTGCTTTCCTGAACTGGAAACTTTATTTCGGGGTTCACCCTTCCCTGGCGGCTGACTGTTGGTAGAGGGCTGGGACAGGCCAGCTTTGATTGTTTCTCTTCAGAAAGGGCAGCAAGGGAACAGCACAGGGTCATGGACAGGAGACAAATCTGGCCTCTGCCCTTCATGAGCCACTTGACCTTCGGCAAGTTATGAGCTAACCTCTGAGCATCAGTCTCCTAACCTATAAATGGGGAAAACCACAGTCCCTGCTTTACAGTGCTGCTGAAAGAAGTGCCATCCTGTCGATCATGTACTTTTAGACATGTAGCTTTTGTGTTTTTTTTTTTTTTAAAACAGTTTATTTTGAGATCAGTTGACAATAGTCTAGGCCACAAAAATTAACAGCTCTGTAATGCAACTTAAAACGTGGACTTTACCTTCATCCCAGGCTGCTGGCTGCAGAGCCCCAGCCCTGTCTGCTCAGCCTGCCAAACGCGGGAGTGGACTGCCCAGAGAAGTGAGCCCATTCACTGTGAGTTACCTACACATTGCAGAGCTGGTGAAATCAAAGATTTCCTCTTGAGAAAGATGAAAACACATGGGGAGCAGGCAGCGTAGAATTCCTTGAATTATCTGCATAATGATCTTCGCCACCCTACCCCGGCCACACCCACATATGCATTCTGGGAGTGGGAAGACTTGAAAAAAAAACAAATGGGGAAGTGGGCACAGGGTTAGAGCAGAGGAGAGGAAAGCCAGCATGCGGTGGGGAGGCTCCTGGTGGGGCCACAGAGGCTTGGCTCACACTGCTGCTCACTACCGTGTGACCTGGAGCAGGTCATTTCAGCTCTGTGAGCTGACTTCCCATCTGGAAATGTGCCTAATGATGCCATTCACCTCACAGGAGATTGAGCGATGAAAACAAGCATGGACCCATCCACAGTAAGTGCTCAAGAGGGCCACGGAGGATATCCGAGCAGCCTCCAGCTTCCAACATCGCTGTGCAGACAGGGCTGCCAAGGGCAGGTAGAAGACTGGAGGGGCTGCTTTCAACAGGGGCGGGTCATTAATCTCAAACACATCCAATTCCAGGCTTAACACCAAATATAATGAACCGGAAAGAACATTTTGTAACCAGATGGAGAGGGGGCTGTCCCTTTGCCTGGATTATCCCAGGCATCATGTTAACCTCACCCAGAAATACTGTGATAGAACGTCACTGGCTTCCATGCCAAAGGCTATTTTCTTAGCAGCACGGTATTTATTTGGAGGGTTTATCTTGTCTTGGTGTATGAACAGGCATTAAATCTACCAACTTCCCTGAAGGAAACGGAAGGAATGCTGAGACCACTGCTTCAGAATCTTTAATGCCGTCGTCTCAATCCACTTCCCACCACCGCGTTTCTCACTGGCTAGAACTTGGTTAACAGGGACTGTCTTCTGAGTGGTGGAAATCCCGAGGACAGAGGACATCCAGAGCGAGCAGTGACACAGGAATTGAAATGACTGGTGCCAACTATACCCCCCAAAGCACAGCCAAAGGAAGCCCTGACTTTCTCCAGTCAGAAGAGTAGTGAACAACTCACAAAATGGCCTGATTTCAGATGTTTGGGATCAACTGAGAATATGTTTATTTAAAAGCAATTTTAAATATTAAAAAAAGTAGAAATTAACACATACAGTACTGAAAAACTGTCACATTAAATACATGTGAAATGACAAGTGTACTGGTGTTTGATGGTTACACCCAGATGCAAATTTGAAATTTAACTAGTGGCACTACGGGATTCCTATACAACATGTTGAAGTTCTAGGCAATAAAAAAATAAATAGCAATTGCTGTTCAACAGTAAAATAAGACACCCGCTATTTGCAGAACATAACTTTCCCCTCTGGGGGAAAAAAACTAATTTGCTATTTTTTTTTGTAAGGTTCCATACCTTAAAAATACTATATCATGGACAAAATTCCAGATAGTGGCTCACTGAGTTCAAGAACAAGATCATATTTAAACTTGACAAGATTGCCAAAGGTATTTCTACCTAGGTTTCCTATGTCCCACAGTAAACTGGATTGGAGAGAACTCAGATTCTTGATGGAAAACAAAAACTCAGGAAAAAATGGTATTAAAAAATGCATTTGTGTAAGTTGCTGCCAAAGGAGAAAAAGAATAGACATTGACTCCATGTACTTTTAGACATGTAGCTTTTGTGTTTTTTTTTTTTTTAAAACAGTTTATTTTGAGATCAGTTGACAATAGTCTAGGCCACAAAAATTAACAGCTCTGTAATGCAACTTAAAACACGTAAGTGAATGAACAGGGACGCTGAGCAACTTCAGATGCTAACTTCCTGTCCTGATACCAGTGTGGCTTAAATAGCGAGGCTGCTAACGCTGCCAGTCACCCACCAAGCACGTCGACTGGTTCCTCGTGCTCTTGGCGTGGTGTGGGACTGCACATGTGCCCTGGCACTGAGGAAGCAATTGCTTAAAATCACTTTCCAATAACAGCTGATAAAATATTTTGCAGGTTTGTCATGCAAGGTTTATTTATTAGGTGGCTATTCAAAGTTTTCATAGTAACCACTTACGCAGAACTAAATTAATATTCACTGAGCACTGTGAGTGTGAAAGAAGGCTTTTCCTAAGGGTTTGGCTGGGAGTTGTGCTTCTGTGCAATTAACATTTCTCACTCATTGCCAAGATTATCTGCTTAAAAATATTAGTTTTCTGTGCTGTTTCAGTTTTAAATAGCAGTTTAAGCAGATGTAATGCCAGAACCACACATGGCCTAGGAATCAGAAAACTCCACTGACTGTGGAGTACAACTCCTGTATTCTTTTCCAAAATTCAGACTGATGTAAAAGGCCGAAATACTCACAATGTTCTTAATGGTATGATAAACAGGGCTGGGATGAAAAAAACTGAGAGGGAGAGACTTCTTGCAGGAAGAGTGCTTTTTCACAGTGCAATTCATAGCAGCGTTCAGAAACTGGGTTATGAATTGACTTGAAGGTGATATAGGTCTATTGGATAGAGCTTAAGATTGAAAAACTTATCTATAATTGGGGTTTAATAAACAGCATGGGAAAAGAAAAGCTTGGTTTCAGCACCTGGATTCTACATTGAGGAAACTGTGTGAAGGGCTGATGTTTAAATTCTGTATCTTTTATCTCTGAGAAATTTAAATTTATCCAAGAACAAACTAAGAAAATAATTTAAAATTGATGTATTGATGCTTCAACACATTTGAGGGATGCTGATTCGTAATATCATATGTAAATCCATACTCTTGAGAAAGCCAAATGACTGACTAGAAACAAATATTGTTGCAACCTTATAATTTCTGCTTTAATGGCAATCAAGTTTAAAAAATGTACAGTTCAACTTATCCATACTATTCCTTTATAAAAGGCAGATTTCAGGTAAGCTTCTAAATGCATGCATAATGTAGAGGCTAATATTTTCTGGCAGTCCTTGGTTCCTGAAGGTTGAACTTCATCAGACGTGTTTTAAACTTTTGTCAAAATAGTCATGAAGGATATGTTATTTCTGCATAATGAGGTAATATCTCAGGGGTGGGCACTCATCATCACAGAACAGTGTGAATCCACCTGTCTAAACTTGCATGAGGATGTGTGCATTGTAAAATGCCACAAAGAGTTTTGGGTCAGTGAATATTTTGCTGAAGGAGTGACACGTTTAACTGAGCACTTTTCTGTAATAAATACCAAAGTAGGTTTTCGTAGCTGTAAACTGCAGGCACAGAAAACTACAGGCTCGTCTGTCATGGAGCTAAAAGTTTTACCTGGAAAACAGAACCCACCTCTTTGCTAATGTTGCATTTTCAGTAACACAATTGAGAATACTGCATTGTTAGGAACAGAGTCTCAATTCTATGGCCTTTCAACAGTTGCTGGAGATCATTTCTGTTTGCAAAGCCAGCAGTTCCTAAACTCCTGTTTTCGTTTGTTTGCTTGTAAAACAGGACAGATAGAGAGATGTAAGTGCTAGGTGCCAAGGATGGCTTTGGCAAACCAGTAAGGCGCGCCGGGTCCCAAAGTTATCCTAATACTGGCAAAGGCAGAAAACCACAGGATATTTACAACACATAGTATATTCCCCTCCTGAGGTGGCCCTTCCGTGAGTTTCATATTCTGTAACAGCAGCTATATACACATTGTGCACAGGATTACATGGAGGCAGCAGTCTTGCATGAAGGATGTGGACAATCTCAAGGTTCTGCTTTTTGCTAGTCGGACAGGATATGAACAAAGGACACCGGAAAGACCCCCTTCCTTTCAGGCTGTCCTTCAATGTGCCCAATCTGTGGAGAGAAAAGAGAGTGGTCAGGCTGGAGACAGTTGCCCTGTGACATGCCCAGTGGGTCAAAGCCCGGCCTGGAGTCTGCCCACAGACCTGAGATGGAATCCCAGGCTTCCCCTTCTCCACCCCCTTTGGTGAACTGATAAAGATCATAAACCACATAATAAAATACAATCACCAAATAGCAAATAACAGAAGTTACTAAGAGATATACTCAGCACTTCCACAAGGGTCTCATTGCACCCACACAGCAGCCCCATGAGAAGGATACTTCTTACGATCCCCATTTGACAGATGAAGGGACAGTGGCCCAGAGGGGTGGAATAACCTGCCCAAGGTCTCACACAGGCTTGAGACTCCAGAGTCCATGCTCTGAACCAGGGTGTTTGTCTGCATGTCTGCATTCCAGCTGGGTGACCCCAGACAAACCTTGCTAAGCTTCTTATCTGTAAAATGGGCTAAAAAAATCCCTTCTCAGGCTTGTGTGATACATTAGAAAAGAAGAAAAAAATATATGGAAAGGGCCACTATGTACGAATCATTTGTTTTCTGGTTACTATGGGGGAAAGGATATTGGCAAAGTTTGAGATTGATGGTAGCCTATGGCAATTTTGTCAGCTGCACATGCCTGTAAGCCATGGTTACCTGCAAAAATTTCCTCATTACATCAACTAGATCGGTATTAACTGCATTTAAGAGAATCATATCATGAGCCTTCGATAGGAAAGAATAACAAGACTATGGACGTGATTCAAATGCCAAATATACAGAGAAGAGTGGTTTTAAGAGAAAGAATCAGACAGGCCAGCTCTCATTCTTCCTCTAGATACCCATGGTATAGAGGGTGGCTGGAGCAAGAGCTGGGTGTCTAGCCAGGGCTGGTTCCTTTATTTACCAGGTTTGTGACCTTGGGTGGCCATCCATGCTACTATGCACTGGTTTTCTTATCTGGAAAGTGTAGTTAATGGTTAGACCTGGCCTACACCTCATGAGGACTTAGTTGACACCACGCACATGAGAGGCTTTGTGAATTATACATCGCTGTTGGGATGTGTGGCAATATCTTTATGCTTGGCTTAGCATGTTCTGATGGCCACAGATTTCCCCCTAGGAATGATGCTAGAGACACCAATGAAAATCTTCCACCTTACAGGAGTCTCTGCTGTAGCCACCAGTTTCTTAACAAAGAACATAATCACTGCTTGACTGAAATGATATATATATATATATTTTTAAAGATGACCAGTAAGGGGATCTTAACCCTTGACTTGGTGTTGTCAGCACCACGCTAGGCCAGTGAGCGAACCGGCCATCCCTATACAGGATCCGAACCCGGGGCCTTGGTGTTATCAGCACCGCACTCTCCCGAGTGAGCCACAGGCCAGCCCTTGACTGAAATGATATTAACAGATCACAAAATGAGTTCTTTGACATCCTTGTGAGGTTTTTCACAGGAAACTGAGGTTTACAGAAGGGACATGCTTTTATCCAAGGCCACAGAGGTAGTAACTGACTCAGCTGGGGACTTCAGAGTCCATACCCTTGCTACTATACTGAGCTGGCTCCCTAACAGGCTTCATGTTCAGAGCAGGCCCAACTGTGCTAACAGAGAGGCTGGAAGCATCACTCGGGCATCCCCCAGCTCATCCCTCCCTGAAAGAGAACAAAGAGGCCCCCCTCACTTCAGCGCAGGGTTTCTAATCTCAGCACTACTGACACACTTTGTTGTGGGGCTCCCCTGAGCACTGTAGGATGTTTAGAGGTACCCCCTGGCTTCTACCTACTACATGCCTTCCGAGGGCATGTAGCACCCACCCTTCCGAGGTCCCAACAATCAAAATGTCTCCAGATTTTGCCAAATGTCCCTGGAGGGCAAAATTGCCTCCAGTTGAGAACGATTGCTCAGTCTAAGCAAAACCCCTACAGCTGTGGTCACGGATCTGCAGTCGCTATCTAGGCCTGAAGGAAGGAAAGCCAAACATGAGTGTGCACGTGTGCATGTGCACACTAGTGAATGAGGGAGCGTGTGTTTCTGGGCAGTAGGAGGTTCTGCTGGCCCAACGGCAAGTCCCTTTCCTGGCAGGCAGAACTGAGTCTCTCTTAGCAGGAGGGAGCTCAAGCTGCCTAGGTAGCGGAATTTCCATGGTGGTGCTGGAAATAATCCGCGAGGAGTGTAACAGGTTACGGTCTACTGCTCCTCGGCCTCCAGTTCCCGTGGGGAGACTTACTCCTTTGACAGCCTGAGCAGCCGCAGATGTGTGGACTGCCCTTGCAGGTCACTTACAACCTGAGTATCTACAAAGGCCTCTGATCTCCACAGCCACCACGGGGAGGACAGTGATGCCTTTCCTTCCTGACACGTGGGCAGCATGTTATACTGTAAATGGAGTTTTCATAGATATTCTCATTGAATCTTCTAAAATCACGTGAGGAAAATATGGCCCCACTTTATAAAGAGAACTGCAGAACAGATTAAGGATTGAGCCTAAGGACCAAGCACTGGTAAGCAGCTGAGCCTGAGCTCGGGCCTTCTGACTTCTGGCTGGGGACAGTGTGGAATGGGGAGCAAAGCACACAGCCTGTGGGGTCTTGACTCTGCCTGCTTACTAGCTGTGCAGCCACCGGTAACATGCTCAACTTTCTTGAGCTTTAGCTTTGCACCGATACCATGGGTAAAGCACATACAAATGTTAATTCTCTTGACCCATTTTCAAAGCACCACAGCTGTTTTTCTATCATGTAATAGTGACAGAAAAGATACCAAATGTGAATGGCTGTGGTACAAGTGATGCAGCTGGCATGAGGACCCCTGAGTTCGAGGGGTGTGATCTCACTGCACTGTCTGCAGGATCCACTGTGGGAGTCTGCCCAGGGCACGGTGAATGAAGGAATGGATGACATGGACAGATGTCCGTACATACCCACCACTCCTGGTCCTCTTCCCCTGTGACAATAATCACTTCTCCCTCGTAGAACGTGAGCTCGTCGTCGTTGTCTGCCTGGCAGTCATAAATAGTCTTCACTCGCCTCACTTTATTTTTCCCCTTAAATGAAGAAATTGGATTTTAGCTGAAAGAAGGGAAAAAAAGAGTACAGCATCCTTTACAAGATGGGTGACCTTGGGCAAGTGACTTAACATCGCTGAGCCTGGATTTCCTGAACCTTGAGATGAGGGGAGAATTTCTTCCAGGTGCCCAGTGTCCTGTGTACTCTCAGGAACAACAGACCCTTCCTCTTCCCCCAGCAGGAGGGAAGCCTCCTGCATTAGTGATCAGGCGTCACTGAGTTATTTTCTCCAGAAGAAAACAATACTAGTAGGGATCAAAATTTGGCTTCACAAAAAACGCAAAGCACTCTGTCCTGCCTCACCCACACCATTAGCTTGCAGAAATGACAGCAGAGTCTAAAAATGTTTTTAGGAAACATGATGTGAAGCAAAATGTGCAGCTTCTGCATACTGAATGTGCAGCATAAACAAATTTCTCAGTCCCCTCATGCAAAATACCAAGTCAGTACATGTTGGTTAAACACAGCAGGATCAGCCCGGGGTTGGCAGGATTCTATGCAGGTCCCAAAACAGTTTTAATTTTTTTTTTAAAAACCAGTTTTGACTTGGGCATTTATTTGTTGGGCATCCAGTTCTTTGCAAACAGGAAGACGGTAATAGAAACAACACCTTCTAAAGAACATTTTGGCACCCACCTAAACAATCAACAATAAAAAAAGCAAGCTGTCTCTTTAAAAGTTTTGGGTCAAGTGCTTTCCCTCTTTGTCCCCTGGTGTCTCCTTTAGTCATACTGAGGATCCCAGCTCCTCTCTGAGCTCCCTTGCAGGCTTGTGCTGGTGGGGTCTGAGAAGCCTGGCAGAACTATGGTGGTGGGAGATTTTCATCTCAGTTCCGACTCTCTGAGCAACTGAGAAGGCCCATAATGTGTTAATTTATAATGGAGAAGATTAAATGAGATAATAAAGCAATTACAAAGCATGTAGCATCAACTGGAATTTAGCATATGTCATGAAACTGGTGAGGCTGGTGGTGCCTGGAAGTTTTGGGAGATTTCCCTTGCAAATAGCAAAAGCATCCGCCATACTAAACATGGTGGCCTCAAATCCACGGGAAGGAGGGTTTTATTTTTCTTACCTTTGCTTTAGTATTGATGTGACACACTTTTACTAACATTATTTTTATAATATATTTAATGTTATTTTTATAATAAAATATGAGTGAGAGTAGAGCTATCATATACAATGGGAGAATTCTGGTTTCTCCCATTAACTGTGCTCCACCTGGGGTGCTAGTGCCCCTGTGGGGGTACAGCCATGTGCAGGCAGGATAAACAGTATGTTACATCTTCCTGGAGCATCACATTTCCACAAAGATTTTGGGGAAAAATCATTTTTATATTTAAATAAAATTGAAATATAGAGTAGAAAGTATGTCATGAAAATGATGGAATGTGAGACTTCTACAAAATTCTGTTTGTGGAAGTCTGTTTGGGCTTTGTCTCCAATCCCTTCAGGAAGATGCAGTGAGAAGCACCGATTAGAAGATACTCAGAACCCAAAGAGAAAAACTGCTCTCTTGTGACACTAGAGCAAAGGGAAAATTTCAACCTCAAGATTCCTAAATAAGAGTGACCACTTGCTGAGTGATTTACGTGCCAGTGAAGTGCTGCTCATCTGTTATTGTATTTAATCACCCATGAGCTCAGTTATTACATTAGCTTCTTTTTGTATATGACAAAAGTGAGGTTCAGAGAAGGTAAGTAACTTGTCCTGTAGTTATATTAGCACTGAAGCCAGGTCCTGAGGCCTGTCTTTTGGAGTCCAAAGCCTATGTTCATATAACCACTAGGTTCCACCCCACCACAATGCTTGAACCGGAGCACAGAGGTACAGCCAGTTAGGTGAGCAAGCTCCTGCTTTTTCTTGTATAAGTTGGAGCACATACCCTCCTGCCAACTCGCAAAGTGGAGCAGAGGGTTTACAAGAGGCTTGAACACTGGTGCCCACCCACCGTATTAATTTTTCTGGGCAGTGGTATGGGCGTCTCTGGCAGAGTGGGTGTGAGGTCATTGGAGTCTTCAGATGCTTGCTTTTGGATGGCATCTCTGGACTGCACATTTGGGGAGAGATCCACTGGGTGTGACTTCTGCGTAACCTCGGAGGGTTGCTGAGCCTTGGGTGAGACATCTCCAGTCTGGGATTTTGCCAGCAGGTCTCCCAGCTGTGGTTTGGGGGGCAGGTCCTTCATCTGTGGTTTGGGAGGTAAGTCTGAGAGCTGGGGTTTGGGTGGCAGGTCACCCAGCTGTGGCTTGGGGGGCAGTTCTCCTGGCTTAGGTGGCAAATCTCCAATTTGGGGCTTGGGGGCCAGTTCTGTGGGCTTTGGGGGCAGGTCTCCAGGAGGTGGTTTTTCTGACAATTGTGACGATTTCTGAAAGATTTCGGGTGGGATGTTGGCTTTGTCTAGGGAGAGATGATGGCTGGTTTCTGTTTTTCTTAGAGCCACTGTGGGAAACAATCACAAAGAGGAAGGTCATGGAACAGAACACGAGGTGTGAAGGGCTGCTTTCCTCCTGTCACAGTCATCAGAAAGAGGCACAATCACCAAGAAGAGAACTGATCTAAAGTGAGCACTTGGATTGGATGAACTCGGGGGCCAGGCTCAGGCCTACACTGTTTTTAAAAAGATGGAAGTTGGAAGGCTAGAAGTCATCTACATTACAATTCATGATTTTATGCCTCAATTATGTAAGAACAGACTATCCATAGTATTACAGAATTGAAAGAAAACAAACATAATACAAATAGATTATAGCAAATACAAAGTTAAAGAGAAAACGTTTCCATAGGCCTTCTACCTAAATGTAGCAAGTTTTGATATTTTGATATATTTCCTTCTTGACTTTTCTATAGATATAACTTTTATCTAATGTTTTAGCAAGAGTTATTAAAAATTCCTTATTAATAGTTTGAATGGTATAGTCTATTTCATTCTACAGCTGTATAATAATTCATTATTTCTCTATTGGATGATTCAGGCAGCATATAAGAAACAAAAGGTTTCCCCTTGCACCTTCCTCCCCCAGGTGATACACATAAATGTGCTTATGAATGTATTCCCCCCCCCACCCCCCTTTTCTGGTGGCTGGGTGGAACAGAGAACTGAACACTTGACCTTGGCCACATTTTAACCAACTGAGCTAACCGTCCAGCCCTGAATACATCTTTTAAAAACCGTAATGGTATTATAATACATACCTTGTCTGAAACTTTGTTTTTTCCCCACTGAATATGTTTGGGAGAGTTTCTAAGTCAGTCCCTCCTTGTTCTCTTTTATGACTGCACAGTACTCCACAGCTCACGGAGTGCTGCAACACACTGTACCATTCCCACAGCTCTTTGCACAGCTCTACGCGGTAGCACTTAGAACACCAAGGACAAGTCTCCATCTCTAGCTCTACCACTTATTAGCTGTGTGACCCTGGGCAAATTATACAACCTCTCTGTGCCTTGACTTCCTCACCTCTAAAACATTTTAGAAAAAACATTTTTGTAACTCTGGCTCTTGGTAGCGGGCCAACTACATACAGTATGTGCTCAGCAAGGGAACAGCTGACTAAGGCACACTGAGTGAATCAATCTAAGGATTTTATCCTAAAAATACAATATATTCAGAAGGACATTTTTTTAAAAAGAAGAAAAAAAAGAAACTTCAGTGTTGTAAATTGTCACAAGCTGTACTGGGGTCGTTTCTGCTCAGGGCCTTGTCCAGCCACATCCCTTTCTAAAGAAACCAAATTCAAGAGCACCCTGCTTATGGGCTGGCCCTTGAGCTTCAGCCAATGTGGCTTGACTCAAAAAGTTAAATGAGACCAATCAGGTTCCTCTTTGGAAGTCTGAAAATGAGTCAACGACATCCAAGGCAGGCGGAGGGGAAAGACCGAGGGACTGGAAATGCTTTGCTGTGAGCTACGATTATGGGGGAAAGTAACTGTGAGTGCTAGGTGTGCACAAGCCCCTTCACCTGCAACTCCAATTCTAGGAATTTATCGTTAAAACATGATCAAAGTCATGCACCGAGACATCTGTGCTAGAGTGGTCAGCACAGCACTCTTTATAGTGAAAGAGCTGCAAACCTTCTGAATGTCAAATGGTAGGGAATTGCTGAGAAAATGAAATAGTATGTGGCCAATAAAAATTATACTTCCACATAATTAATGTCATGGAAACTGTTTTTGATTATGTGAAAAAAAATTAGCTTAAACAGAAACTTGGGGAAAAAACCCAAAAACAAAGCACAAAAGAAAAAAGACAAAGGATGTACACCAAATCAGTTATCTTGGTGGCAAGACTTCAGGTGGTTTGTGCTTTCTTTTTATCCGGGCAGACAAGCAAGCTTTCCCCCAAATTTGGACTACAAAGAGTACACTGTCATAGTGAGGCACATTAAAAACAGAAGAGGAATAAAAATCGCAGCCCACTCACTTCAGCAATAAAAAAAATTATTCAGTACTGGGAGGGGTATAGAGCAACTGCTTCATGCAGGCGGAACTGATGGGGAAATGCACAGACAGGGCCCAAAGCTACACGGCACACAGTAGATCCTACTAAGACATTCTACCCTCTGTTGTAACAGTTTCACTCCTGAGAACTGATTCCAAGAACGTAATTGAGGAGGATGAGGTAGAGCAGGGAAAGCCTGTGTGAGGATGTTCACTACAAACCACCCGTGTAAATCTGCAATCGAAGGGGCTCTGGGTAGATGAGGGCACTCCACTAACAGACCGTGAGTGCCTCACGCTGTTCACGAACACTTCATGAACACACAAAAAACACACATGTTGGAATGCTCAGTGGGAAAAAACAGGATGCAAAACTGTACTTGGTTATGATGACAACTAGAGGACAATGTACGCTCTTGGTCAGGATCAGGGAGTTGTATTACAGTGTAATGAGTAACTTCGTTTTTCTTAAAATATCTTTTAATGTTTCTGTAACACTGCTTTCTCCCGAAAAATGCATTTAAAAAATGGCTCTACTGTAGCAGTCTGTCTCTAGCTGAGAAGGCTTTAAATTAACCGTTTTAAAAGGCACCCAGAGGATTTGAAAAATGGGTGAACTACGGGATGGGAAAGGCCAGGACACAGTAGCCATGAAAGTGTCAGCCAGTGACGGATGCCAGCAGGGAGGGCTGCAGCCCTGCCCCTCTTCAACCTTACAGGTGCCCTCTGCCTCCAGAGCAGGAGAATAAGAAATACCCTTGCAGACACCCCAGAAAAGAAGGCCCCAGCAGCTGACGACAGTCATTCACTGCCACAGTTTTGGCGTTAGGTGAGCAAGCAGCTCCCCGGGTTCTCAGACTCACAGCTCCAGGCTGGGCGACAGCCTCTCCCCAGGCACCACCCCTCCTCCTTCCCCTGTGACTGATGTGGACCCCACTAGAGTGAGTGCTGGAGGGCTGAGCTTTCCACTGCTCTACCCCATCACCTGGCACACCACCTCCACAGAGCAGCTGCTCAGTCAACACTGCGGAATGAATGAACGCAGAAAGAAGTCACTGGTCAGCTTGGGGGTAAAGACCTAGACAGACATCCAGCATTGCTGCTCTACTGCTCAATAACTCTGTGACCCAGGGCAAGTTTCTTAACCCACTTAGCCTCAGTTTTCTCATGTAAAATATATGGACAATATTGTTTATGTCATGGGGGAGGGCAGTTGTGATTATATCAGATGAAAAAATGCAAGTGCCTGACTCATAGCAGGTGCTTAAAAGATGCTAGTGTCCCTGCTAGCTGTGTGCAAGAAAAAGGGAGTGGGGACAGGTGGACTGTCTAGCCATTAGAAGCTTTTCTAATCACAGATCAGGGATTCTGTTCCATCACTCTCATCATGAAACACAATGCAGCGCAATGCTATCCCAGCTTCAGGCACCTGCCACGCCTAGCTTTGGTGTGACTGCTGGCGCCAGTCTGAGACCCTGAGAGAAGGAAGTGAGGCTGGCTGGGGCCTCAATGCCCACCAGCCCAGGAGACTCAACGTCGGGCAGGTGAGAGATGGGACCATAGGGCAGAGAGAGGAAGGAAGCCAGCTTTCCTGAAACCTGCTTCATTCCATTGCTAGTCCTCCTAATAGCCTTGCCACGTACATATCATCATTGTCCCCACTTTCCCAGTGAACTGAGGGAGGCTGGGGAGCCTGCCCAAATCACAAAGTGAGTAAGGGATGGCCGACTTCTGGCGCAAGAACACCTCAGCCCAACAGGAAAACGGTGACCACTGCACCACTATTTGTTGGGCATATGCTGTGTCTGGCACTGTTCCAGGTACTTGGTACAGAGCAGTGGACAGAAGTGACAAGGTTCTTGCCCTCTGGGAGCTCCCATTCAGGCAAGAGAGTGACAAGTAAACACAGAGTATGTCAGAGGGTGAGGGTTGGTAAAGCAGGGGAGGGCAGGAGTTCTGGGCTGTGTGCAGAAAGGGCGAGTGGATCACCAAACAAGTGGGCAAGGAAGGTCTCTCTAACACGGTGAGATGTAAACAAAAACATGCAGGAGGCAAGGATACCAGCAATGCTGGTATTTGGTAAGAGGGAGAAATGGTTCAGGCAGAAGGAACAGAAATGCAAAGGCCCTGAGACAAGAGCATGTTTGGGATGTTTAAAGAGAAGCAGGAGGCCAGTGTGGCTAGGGTGAAATAACCAAGGAGGCAAGCTGCATAGCAGAGGTCACAGAAGTGGCAGGGTTCAGGGCACGTTAAGGCCGTGAGGCCACTGTTTAAGGACTTCGCTTTCATTCTGGGCAAGACAAGAAACCACTAAATGGTTTGGGACAGAGGAGGGATGTGATTGAACATGGATCACTCTGGCTGTTCTGCTGAAAACAGACAAGAGGCAGACCAGGTAGGAGGGCTCTAATAGTCCCAATAAGCGATGACAATCACCTGGACCTAGGTTACAGTGGCAAACACAGAGAGAAGTGACTGGATTTGAAATACATGCAGAAGGGAGAGCCAACAGTATTTGTGGAAACACTGGATGTGGGGTATGTGAAAAAGGGAGGAGTTAAGCATCTCTCAGGTTTGAAGGCCCAAACATCTGGAAGGATGATGCTGCCTTTAACAGATGCGGAACACTGTGGGAAGAACAAGTTTGGAGGGGAATCAGGAGTCTGTACTTGAATTTTAAGTTGAGAAGCCTCTGAGACATCTGAGTGGTGAGGTTAAACAGGCTGTTGTCTGTGAGTTCAGATTATGTTGGGATACTTGGGCTGGAGATGTAAACATGGAGCTTTCCAAATGGGTTTAAAGCTATGGGACTATTTGGATCACTTGGGAGGTGAAGGCAGATGCAGAACAGAAGAGATCCCTGACTTCAACCTGTGTACCCAGCACTTAGAGGTGGAGGAGATGAGGAGGGAGCAGCAGAGGAGGTTGAGAAGGAACTGTCAGAGCAGTAGAAATGAACGGGGTGTTGTCCAGAAGCCAAGTGCAAAGTGTTTCAGGGAGGAAAGATCAATCAACGTGCCCAAAGCTGCCAAGCGCCAAGAAGGACAAGGCTGAGACCACTGTCCAGTCACCTTGTGAGGGATCTGAAGAGAGGATAGTGAATGGATCTTGGCTTTGAGCATCAGCAGCTGCAAACTCCACATGAAGAGAGACAAACAGATGGTATATACCTTGTGATAGCACATACCACTACCTATGAGGTAGTTTTGTGAAGCCTGGACCTGTACCCCATCTAGCCTCTGGGTCCAACTTACAAGTGACAGATACAGAGGACAGAGGGATATGTTAAATAAACAAACACATGGGATGCAATCAGCAAAATCCAGACTGGAAATAACTATAGGACATACAACCTGGTTTTTTCAGCAAATAAACCACCAGAAAAAGAGAGAGATGTAGGGAAAACTTTAGTCTAAGACACTCTGGAGACAATCACCTGTAATGTACAGATCTTACTTTGATCCTTTCTCATATAAATTGTTAAAAAAAAAAAAAAGACATTTATGACACATTTGGAAATGTGAACACTAGGTATCTGAAGATATTAAGAAATACTTGATTTTTTAGATGTGATTAATTTTTTAGCTGTGGTAATTGGATTGCATGTGTATGAAATGACATGACATCTGGGATATGCTACCGGACCATTACTGGGGGTGGGTGGGTAGGGAAACAGATGAAATTAGAGCTAGTATAAACTGCTAATTGTTGGACATGGGTGATGAGCATCTGGGTGGAATGGAGGAGGCTACATTATACCGTTCTGTTTTATTGTATTTTTGTTTTTATTTATTTTGTAAAAACACACACAAAAAGCAAAAGAATGGGAGTACAAGAGTGGGGTAGTGGTTGGAGGGACACAGATCAAGAGGGAGCTGTGACAGTGTGCCTGTATTCTGATGGGATGGATCAGAAAACAGAGATGCAAAAGAAGGAGGGGCTGGTTGGTCAGCTCACCTGGTTAGAGTACAGTGTTTTAACACAAAGGTCAAGGGTTTGGATCGCTATGCCTGCCAGCCATCAAAAAAAAAAAAAAAAAAAAAAAAAAAAAATTAAAAAGAGGGAGGGACGAGCACTGGGGTGCTGTCCCTGAGGGGGTCAAAAAGGACAGAGTCTCCCTTAGGACCACAGGCTGCCAAGTGCAGGCAGGTGGGGCATGTGGTGGGGTAGGGGTGGGCTTATGTGCTGACTCAGAAAATAAAAGCAAAGTCCTCCTGAGACCAAAAGAGACGGAGTGCAAGAGTGGGCCGTGAGGGTAGTGAGTGCCTGGATTGCTGGGCAGCACCAGATGACCCCATGAGGTCAGTGGTCACAAGTGGAGCAAGACCACCATCCTGTCTGTACACTGCTCCCTGCCACAGCAAGCTGTCAGAGCCAGGCACAGGAGCCAGTCAGGTGAGCAGAACATGGCACCGGAGGGTGGGAAGAAGAGGGAGAATGTTAGGGAAGGATTTTGGTGCTGGGAGGGAGAGCACGAAGGGGAGGAGGACAGTGCAAAGGTGGCAGCAGCATGCTAGTTCCAAGTCGGGGACTAAGACGCGTTGGAGTCTGGGTGCTGCAGGAAGTAGCTGGAGTGGCAAGTGGCAGGGAGTCAGTAGTAACATGGGAGCTACATAGGGCAGAATCTGGGGCAGACTGTAGTTAGGAGGACATGCCTGGGAAACTTGTCTCCAACTCCTCCGAGATCAGGAGAGCCCTTTTGGCAGAGTTTAACAATAAAAAACAATAACAAAAAGTAACCCTAGATGAAGAATCAGTGCCCAGGGGAAGCCTTCCTTTTTGTTTTATGGAGAACAAATCAGCAGCCATTTGGGACTCTCATCTCACAACAGATGAGCCTGGCCCAACCAGTCAATGCTCTACCAAACATGTCACTTTACCAAACATGACTCGGAGAGTGGTGAATTTCAGCTTCCCAACACTAACCCTAGCTTGACTTTTACTCAAACTAGGCAACAGAGCACTGAACTGGGGTCAAAAGCCTCGCTGCCCATACTGAAAATCCATGGAGCAGCTCCCCGAGCTCGTCTGAGCCTCTGTATCTAAAGTGGGCCCTGCCAGCCTTGCAGTCTTAAGTGAGGATCGAATGCAGCAGACAGTTCTGAAGACGTTTTGCAACTCTAACGGTTAGGCATTGCAATAAAACAAAGGCAGCGCTACCATTTGTGTTGTAGTTTTTGGTTTTAAAAATGAAAATCTTCATCAGGATTTAAAGAAGATTTGGTCAAAGAGCTGAGTGTCTTTGCTTGCTCTAACGGTTAGGCATTGCAATAAAACAAAGGCAGCGCTACCATTTGTGTTGTAGTTTTTGGTTTTACAAATGAAAATCTTCATCAGGATTTAAAGAAGATTTGGTCAAAGAGCTGAGTGTCTTTGCTTGGCAAAGCAGCAGCATTTACAGATACTTTCTTGTACTTTGCAGAGCTGGGTATCTTTACTCTGCACAACAGATGCTATCTTGGAAGGATTCCTTTGCCACCCACTTGCTAGGAGTTTTCTAAAGCGTGACTTCTTTTCTTCCTTACAAAATCTTACAAAGTATGTATTATATTTCCCATTTTACAGATGAGGAATCTGAGGCTTAGTGAAGCTACTAAGTCACTTGCCCAAGGCCACACAGCAAGTAAGCTGTATGGATATCTCTGATTATGTTTACAAGAGAAGAAAGAATAGCACCTGGGGATTACAATAATGTGTCTTCTAAAAAGTATTATGTTTTTTAGGAATAGTATGGTATTTTGCTAATCACAGAATTTGAGTTTATAAATACGTTTCTTTGTTTAACAAATATTTGTTGGGCATCTACCTACATGCCAGGTGCTGCTCTATGCATTTGGGGTAGATCAATGAACAAAACAAAGACCCCTGTCCCCTTGGAGGGTGAGTGAATATGAAAAAGATAAATCTTACCTTTCTGAGGTAGTTTAGGAAGAACTCTTGGGCCAAGGGCAGTCTTTGCAGAACTGGTGCTAATTGATAAATAAGAATCATTGAGGATATAAAAATGCTATAATAGCAATAGTGATAAATTATTCAAGGAAACCAATAGCATTTACAGAATTATCTAAAGAATCCTCTCAAAATTTCTTTAACAAAAGATTATAGTCTATTTTTCATATTTCAGATTGCCTGGCTGGGGAGGCATAGGGAAAGGGTTAAAAACAAACAAACAAACAAAAAAACCCTCTTAACGATAAAGCCTAACTCCTTCCCTGTTTCAAAACTTTTTCCAGAGATAATAGTGTTCATAAAAGTACTTGGCACACCATTAAGTCAGGATCCCAATGTAGCTGCACACAAGTAACTCATCTCACGTGATCCCACAAAGCAGCTCTTCTCACCCCCACTTTCAGATAAGGAAACTGAAGTGAGCGGAGTGTCAGTGGCTAGCAAAAGGTCCCAAGGCTGTTCAGTGGTGAAGTGGAAATTTAGCCCTAGCTGTGCTCACCTCCCGAACCCTCATTTCTTCCACTGCACCAAAGCAAATGGCATGGGTTCTCAGGCCTTCAGGTTTTCCCCAGTCTTGTCCTCCTTTTGGAGAACATGTAAATGAGTAAGGGAAAAAATGCAGCTCCATGTTGTCTGAATCATCAAATGTGACCCCTCCCCATCAAATGCCAGTGCTGAAGGTGGCATCTACTAATTGGAAGCCCTATTTCCCTCTAACAAGAGATTAGAATAATTCTCAGAGTACGCCAAGAGCACTGCACACCTGAAAAGCAACAATAGCCAAGGGCCTGAGCCATATGTGCCCAAAGCCTCTTTTATTATCTTGTTTCTCCTTTTCTGTACTCTGATGTCCTAAGAGCTGGCTTCTTTTTCTTCTAACTGCATTTAAAAGAAAAGGAAAAGCCAAACCAACCAGCCAACCAACCAACCAAAAAAGAGTCAAAGACAGAGGATGAGATGCATGTGTTCCCTTCTGCTATCCTGGCTCTCAAGCACTCTTGGTGTTAACTGCTCTTTCCTCAGCTCACTTGAAATCCTCCTACCTCTGGGTACCTGGAGGATAACACTGTTGAAATAAAACCACTACTGAAAAGGGAACATTTAATGTGAGAGGGCTTTGCCTCTAATATTTATGGAATGTGTTGTTCTTGTATCCTGCCTCAGTATGTCAGGGAAGCACAGCTTCAAATTACGGGTGTGAGCACAATAGTCATTCCTGGCCATATGACCAAGGCCAAGGCCTGGAGGTTCAGAAATTCCTTACACAGAAGCCCCTGCATCCACGCTGTGTATGCTTGGACCTGGGCTTCTTCCTATGGGAAGTGAACACAAGGCTGCTCCTGCTGGTGGTGCTGAGTGCATGTGTGTGTGTGTGTGTGTGTGTGTGTGTGGTGGTGCTAAAAAACTCAATGAATTGCCAAATGGCTCTAGTTTACTATCAGCTTGATTCTATTTAAAAACACTTCGTGACCACTTTCTGGGTGTCAGACACTTTTCCCACTCTGGAAGAAGACCACCAGAACTTTAGTTTTACAGGATCCAATAAAGCAGGGATGAAGGACTGAGTGAGGTATGAAAGGCAGGACATGAGGGTAAAGGAAGGGGCATGGAATGTGGAGTGCAGAGAACTGTGGGTCGGAGGGCCAGCTCTGACATCTGTGCTCCCCACCTAACCCCTCTCAGCCTCGGCTTCCTCATCTGTAAGACTGATGACAATAGTAATTGGGCCTATCTCATAAGGGTATAAAGATTAAATAAGAGATTGGTACTAAAAGAAATGGGGTTTTATTTTTTCATCTTTGATAAACTCTGGAAAGCAACTCCTGCACACCAACTGACTCTTTCTCCCTGAGGTTTTGGGTCTGGAAGTGGCTCTCTGTGTCCTTACCTTGGATCACACATCTAGAGAATACCCTTTGGAGGTGTTGGATAAACACTACTCATAGAAGATCTCCCTAAGTATCCGGCTTACGAAAGGAGGGAAGAAAGAAAAACTGCTTTCAGCCCAGCCTAAAAAAATCTTACAAATGAGGAACTTGGAAAGAATCATGTTTTTATGTTTGAAAATTTCTGGGTAATCAGATTTCCCTGAGGAGTATCTTTCATTCCCATGTTAAGGAAAGGAATCAAGAGGGAAAGTAACAAAACAAAATTACTTAATTAAAACATCAAAAATAAAAATAAAAACTCATTCTGACAGGAATTTGGTTACAGACCACTATATAACTCTGTGACCATCAGGAGAGCAGTGTTGCTCCAAAACCTGGCCTGCAGACCTGTATCAGGCCAAGAGCTGCTTGCTGCAGCTCAGCAATGAGACCCATATGCAAATTTTGAGAGTTGAACATTTAGTTTCTCTTCATAACCAGCACTGGTCAGCTGACTACACTTTGAGCAACATTGGGCAAGCTGCTAAAACCATTTATATAATTCTGTTCGTTACAATTATGAGTACAATGGGAGAAAGAAAGTGCTAAGATATCTTACCTTGACTGCTGAGACAGTCCCTCAAACTTGTTTGTCGTCTTACTCGAAGATGATGGGCCCACATCATTACCTACAAGGAAAATTGAACGTGAAAAGCTGCATCTTCAGACAGGGAAATGGATTATGGCTATATACGGGTTTGGCAAACAGACAGGCATCCCTTAGGTTCCAGAAAGGCACTTAAAAAACCCAAGCCAGAACAAGATACATTTCTGGCATCAAACAAAAGACAAGTAAGCACTTTTTTGGGTTTTGACAATGTTTTTATTGCTAGAAAAGGAGTATGTCAAAGAAGTGAGGAGTCTGCTCCTGGGCAAGGCCTCTAAGATCAAAGGAACTTGGTGATGTCCCATTGGGTCAGGACCTTGTCCTTAGCTTGGGGGCAGGGAAAGAACAGTAAATTTCAAGTTCACCTAGATGTTCCATGCTAGGATTCTACCCTCTAGTAACCAGACTCAGAAGAAAGACACAACTCACCAGTTGTGAGTATGTGTGCGAACACTACTAGCAGGATGGTGAAAACTGGTCATCTGCTGGGCAAGGCCCTCAGTCACCTACTGACTCATCATTCATTCAAACATTGACATTTATTAAGGATCTACTATGTGCAAAGCATGAATATAGAGTAGGAGGCACAAAAGCAAATAAAATGTCACTGCTCTCGCAGTTTCTCCTCTGGCCTGGGAGACTTACACAAAGGAACTATTCTAACAATGGGGAATGAAACGAACGTTGGGTCAGGTTGGTTGCTGTGAAAATGAAGAGGGAATTATGTCTAAGATCTAACTGCTAAGAGGGGGCAGGGAATGTCCTCCTCAGAGGACATGGCACTTGAACAGGAGAAGAACTTTCTAGTCGGGGAGCAGCAAAACCAAAGGCATACAGGTCGAGGTAAGTGCGCTTGGTCCAGGAGAAGATCAAAAGACTGGTTAGAATAAAAGTGGGCTTTTCTGTTACCCATTCCTTAGGAGGAGGGAGGGGTGCAGGGCAGTCCTGGAGCACCAGGCTGCCGGGAGGAATCCTTGGGACCCTGAAGGGGCACAATGTCTTTGGGGCTCTAGTTCGTTCCTTGCCTGCTCTTCCAATGGCTGCTCTGGCAACTCCAAGTGTTCCTTTCCTTCAGCAGACCTCTTTCCTCCCCTGCCTAGATGCCCATAATACCACCCAGGTGGCACCGGGAAGAGGCTGGCTGAGGAGGCTCAGAAACAGAAGGGTAGATGAAGAGGACAGGGGTTGAGAGAACTGAACTACTCCTCACTGCATGATGTATCTGCTTAACAGCACCTAAAGCTGCCCACATGTTTTTACGTCTGTCTGGCCATCCTACCTCACAACAACTTGAGAAACTGGCATCATTATCCCCTTTTTAAAGAAAAGGAAATGAGGCTAAGGGAAAGAATGGCTGCAGATCCTCCAAGTGAATGATGTACCTGGGAGTCCTGACCACAAATCTATGTGCTCTTCATTACCCATATTTGTGAAGCCACAATAATAACATTAAATACAGCAACAGCCATTTATTGAGCACTTACTATGAGCAAGGTATTGTGCTAAGTACTTCACAGTAATTATACTTATGAGATAAATAATGTAATCACTCCCCATTTACTATATGAAGAAACACACAAGGAAGTAAACTGTCCAAGGTCAAGTAGCTGGTAAGGGTCAGAGCTGGGATACAAAGCCACCAACCTACCTCCAAGGTAGGTACTCTGAACTACCACACTATCACCTCCCAGTCCTCTTGAACTCACTGAATAGGGAGAGGCTGCCAGAGTGCTAAGACTGGACCTCCTGGACAGAATGTTCTCTAACTCCAGGACACTGATACAAGAAGAAACAAGCTAAACTGACAATACCAGAAGTGAAGACTTTCAAATTTAGTTTTGTTTAATTTTAATAAGATATTCCCTCCAACCATCAATATATTACCACGAGCCCATAACTTCATATTTATGGACTTCTTTTGTAACCTCTTATGAAACCCTCAGAACTGTGATTTCCTTTAAAGTGGGCATTTCTTTCTAGCACTGTGCTCAATGCTGAGTCTCTAGGGCTGGATATCAAATCTTACACTTTCAGACTTAAATGAGCCATAACAATCAAAATGTCAGAGAAAGTTCTGTTTGAGGATTAAACCATTGGATCTGTTAATTCCATTTCTAGGTAGAAAACATTCCAAACAAGGGCCGGCCCAGTGGTGCACCGCTACAGTGCGCCACTTGGGAGCGCGGTGGCGCTCCCTCCAAGGGTTCGGATCCCACATACAGACCGGTTCCTGCTCACTGGCTGAGCGACGCACCGCTACAGTGCGCCGCTTGGGAGCGCGGTGGCGCTCCCTCCAAGGGTTTGGATCCCACATACAGACCGGTTCCTGTTCACTGGCTGAGCGAGGTGTGGGAGCAACACCAAGGGTTGCGATTCCGTTGCCGGTCCCGGTCCGGTACGGGCGCGACACTGAGGGTTGCGATCCGTTGCCGGACACGAAAAAAAGACAAAAAGGAAAAAAAAAAAGAAAAAAGAAAAAAAAAGAAAACATTCCAAACAAGTGATCAATTAATCTAGTTACGCATGAGTTATGTGTGAGTGAATTTGAGACCAACAGGGCTGCCAAAGTGCCTGGTTCTGCTGTGGTCATTCCCTCTACTGTCACCAGATGTGTTATCACATCAGGGGCTGCTGCCCAAATGTCCAGAATCCTCATTTAACCTTCCTCTCTGGCTACTCAGACTGACTCTCCACTCTCTAAAGACACTGTGTGTTTCTATGCCTCTGTTAACTTTGCCCCTTCTGTTCTTTCTCCTTCAATGCCTGTCTCCTCCTACTCCTGGTGAATTCCTAAACAACCTTCAAAGAACATCTCCAAAGTTACTTTCTGAGAATTCTTCCCTAGTCGACTTAACTACCCCTTCCTTCTTGTGAAGAGTGTTTAACGATGTGGATTCTGCAGCTGGACGAGTCTGGTTTTAAATTCCATCTGTACCACTGACCAGTAGGCGTGAGTTTGAATAACACAGTTTACTCATCTAAGCCTCAATTCTCTCATCTTATTAATAAATGGGAATATCAATAGTACCCACTACACTAGATGTGTATGAGCATTAAAAGAGGTAAACTATGAAGCATGGGGCACACTGCTGGTCCACAGGAAGCATGACACAAATGATTATTATTATCCATAGCTGTTTGGTGGAATGTAACAGAAATGATGCCGATTTACGCAATGAGTGGGCACCTCAAAGACAGGGACTCTGCCTCCTTCATCTCTGTAACCCCACTTTCTATCACTACGTCTGGCACTGAGCAGTCAGTAAGTCCCTGCTGAAGATAGGACCAACAGTGCTACCATCAACTTCTCTGCCCACAGTGTGATTCCTCACACCTGGGTGGGCAGGCACCTGTGGTCTGCCTGAGAGGAATCCTGTCATTCTCAGAGCCTGGCAAAGGCTACCTGCTGTGCCTGGGAAGAAACGTGTGGCTTAGAAAAAATTCTGAAAATTAGACAGTATTGAAAAGAAGAGAAAGAGGAGCAAAAATTTGGAAGCTGCTCAATCCTTTTTTTTCCCCCTCCATGCAGTTTTGAAAAGGACCTTGGTATGTCATACAAATGTGAAAGAGAGCGAGCTGGAGACAAATGTTGAATAGGCAGTTGAGGAAACTGTGGCCAAGGCCCTTGGTCACATCCTAAGCTCAGAAGCTGCAAGCCACGGGTTTGTGGAAAGAGAAGAGGGCAATGGCTCAGCAGTGAATGGCACGGAGGCTCCAGAAAACTTCTGGAGTAGGGGACTAGTATATGGGCCTGGGAGTCAGAAATTGGTTCAAATCCCAGTTCGGAAGTTACTTGATTTGTGATTTTATGCAAGTCATTTGACTTTTCTGTCTCAATTTCTGCATCAGTAAACAAGAGAGTGACAGGCCCTATATTACAGGATGGTTGTGAGGGCTAAATACAATAATGTATGAACAAGTGCACAGTACCTGCTACATGGCGAACAATCTACATAAACGGTGGCAGCCATTATTATTTCCAGAACTGTATGTAAAATGGGGTTGGGGGTGAGGGGAGAAGTTGACATGAAAATGTACTGGGAATCCAAGAAAAAAGAAGAATAAGGAAACTCCTACACAAAGGCTCTTTTGCAAGCCAGTGCCACTTCCAACAAGTAGACGTGCATGACTCAGATCAGATATTTCAAATATTGAGCCCTTTCACCTGGTAGTCCTGGCCTTGAAATATGGGAAATGAATCAATCTGTAGTAGTTTCTCATCCATTACCTGCTCTACATTTAAAAACAAAAAAACAAAAAGCCTATACAGTTTAAAGTTCCAATGACCAAAGATAAGGAACATAAGTGATTCCCAGAGGTCACTTAGCCAGGGATTGGTAGAACATGAATCAGAACTTGGGCTTCTGGAATGTTCATTCAGTGCTCATTACGGTTTCCTTCAATGTTTACTGCAGACATTTCTCCAAATACCAAAGGACGGAGGTCCCAGAGGGAAAGTGTTCTCAGGTATTAATTACAAGAATCTCAAGTGTGAGAACAGGTTTATGGCTACTGTAACTAGATGACTATTTCTATTTTTTCCTTTGCTCTTGACTGTGAGAATCTTAGGGTCAAATCCACGGTCCACTTCCAGTCACTGTGTGTGATCTCATGTCACATTTTGTGGTTATGGCTACTGTAACTAGATGACTATTTCTATTTTTTCCTTTGCTCTTGACTGTGAGAACCTTAGGGTCAAATCCACGGTCCACTTCCAGTCACTGTGTGTGATCTCATGTCACATTTTGTGATCACACTCCTGAACTTCACCTTTGCTACATTTATTCTCCCTTTGTCCTCATTTCCTTATCATTTATCTTGTGTTAAATTTTGTGTTGGCCTGTTACAAAGTAGGTTATAAAAGAAAAAAGGGGGAGCTTTAATGAAATGCCACTTCAAAAATCATGAAGCCCCACAAAACCCAAATCTGCCCACAGGCCTATTTGTTTTCTGATCAAAAGCCTGCCTTAGAAGTCTCCTGAGACAGATGGCTGAGTTCATCACAGAAGCGGGACTTCAGCA